TGTCTGGGTTTGGTTCAGATTTTAGAATATTCAGACAGATTTTTATAGTTTGGTTGATTTCAGTTTGAGTCCCAGTATCTAGTATGTACCTACATATACCAGTGCATAAATATTTAATACATACTTTTTGATGATGACAGTGGAAGGGAAGTGTCAAAACTTTATCTAATTATTCCCCTTCCTCTTTTCCTTTCACTGGTAAAAGGGATTACATTTAGCTTCTTTTCAACTTCCTTCCCCCACCCTCCCCCACCTCCCAATCAGGATAAAATCTTATAGTGGTGATTTCTCTGGTATATTAGTGAATGGAATGAGGACTGATGATTGGGTTGATAATAATATCTCACAATTAGACCTTTATCTTTCTTCCTTTTTGGATCTTACAACCATCCCGCATTCTTATTTCTGTTTTTCAGACAAGGAAACTGAATCCCAGAGAGGTCAGGCTCTCTGCCTGCTGTCACCAGCTAGTTTGGGGTGGAGCTTAGAATGAGTCCCATATGGTTTTTTTCCCCCTGGGACCAGCCCACAGTTTGCATGAGGCCCAGGGAATTTGGGAAAGGAGGAAGAGACCCAAATCGCTAAGGTTGGCCTGGCACAGAGTGGACCCTGAAGGAGGGATTGGGACCCAGTTGGGGGAGCGGGCGATGGAGCCTGGAAGCAGAGCAGCCTTGCTGTGTATAGTTCCTACATGGTGTGTACAGCCTCGTCTGCAGCTCCACGTGGAAGAGATCCCTGACGATGGCCCCGTCGTCTTCATCCTTGGACAGCCAGCGGCCGCAGGGGAATGTCATGCACTTGCCAAGCGATGGGGCATCAACCTCTACCCACTCTAAAAACCAGCTCGGAGACTTGCCTGGAAGGAGAGAAGACACAGAACCCATCAAGGGCTTCCACAGGGTGGTTTCCTATGGACCGCTTCAGGGACTCCAAACATCCTTCCTCACTCAACGGCTGATCCCTACAGCTTCCCCGTGAACGTGCCGTCCCTTTTGCTTCCAGCACTGCTAAACTGATTCCTGTAGGAACATGCACCCAGCTGAAGCTGGATTACACTCCAGGCTGCTGTCAATAAAATTAGCAGGCGTAAAAGAGCGTGGGGAAGAGATGACAAGAGGGCAGAGTCTGAGGGGAGAAAAGCAAGGACATTGTCCCTGGTGGAAGGCATTCCAAATAGGGAGCCCAGACATGCTGAAGAGAGCCTGTGTTAACAAGGACTTTATCATTTCACCCAGTGACGGGAATGACACTCCCAGACCCCTGGCCTCAGTTTGTGACTCATGAAGGGCAGGGAAATCATTGAAGGACTGATGGTCCATCTTTTCTGGGAAAAGGAGGGCTCAAGTTTAAAGAAAGGAATGGAAGCCAGGCAGAGAACCCCGTCCCTCAGTCCCAGGTGCTAGGAGGACGGACACCTTCTGTAGGCTTAGAAGACATGGTCTGAAGACCCAGAAAATGAGTCTGGCTTTACTGAGTGAGAATAAACTTGGATTCATCCTTTGTCTTGCTGGAGTGTCAGTGGGTTCTGGAAAGGACTGGCTAGATCAGTGATTCTCAAATGGGGGTCCCCAGAGCAGTAGCCTCAGTATCACTTGTGAGAAATATAAACTCTTGGGCCCCACCCCAGACCTACTGAATCAAAGAGTCTGAGGGTGGGACCTAGAAATCTGTGTTTTAACAAGCCCCCCTTTCCCCAGGTGGTTCTGATGCCCACTCAAGTTTGAGAACGACTGAGCTAGATCAGGGATTCTCAAATCTGGCTGCACAGTGACATTACTGGGGGTGGGGGATGGGGGAAGGCTCTAAAATTCACCAGTGTTCAGGCCCCCACCCCAGGCCAATTAGATCAGAATTTCTGCTTGTAGCCAGGGCTCCATTGGGCTGAAGGGATTGAAGATGTTGTGTCATTATNCAGAGATACTAAGTAACCTACCCAAGATCACACAGCTAGTGAGTGGCCAAGTCAGGATCTGAACTTAGGTGATTTTGCCCCAGCCACTGGTCTGGGTGCCTGACCACTGCCTGGCACTGCCACATCCCATATAGCGCACATGTGAGTAAGACTGATAATCACGTCCCTAGCACAGAGTCAGGGACAACCCATGAGTCATTGACCTCTTTGACATTCCATTTTTCCAAAATGGATAGACTTCCTATTAGCTACCTTACATGCTACCTTACAAGTGCAGGGACAGTTATATTGCACGCGCGCGCGCGCGTGTGTGTGTGTGTGTGTGTGTGTGTGTGTGTGTGTGTGTGTGTGAAATTATTCCTCCCTGATAAAAAGTGTTCTTACATCTCTTGTCCTGTTTTTCAGCCCAGGGCTCCTGGTAGCTATCATAGTACTATTTCCACTTCAGAAGCAATAAACCAGAGCTAAGGGGAAATGGTTCATATCTGGATGACGAAGCAAATCAATGAGAGCCCAGAGCCTGACTCCATAGGGACCTCACGGGCAGGCTGAGGCTCTTCCAGATGGTCACCAGCCAGCTGCAGATCCAAAGAGATGACACCTACTTTCCTTGTTCCAGAGCTAATTTCCTCCTCATCGGCAACACCTGTTTGAACACTAAAAGTCACGCCTGGCTGANCAATGCATTCATTATACATTATCTAACCTACTAAATAATAACATTGAATGTTTACTGAGGGTCATTTTGACTCAAATATTTTACTCATTCAATTTCTTGAAATCCACAACTCTGTGAGACATGCATTAGTTTAATCTCCATTTTACAAATGGGGGAAAGTAAAGTACAGAGAGATTAAGCAACTCTCCCAAGGTGACACAGATAAGTGATAGAGCAGAAGTTTAAAACCCATCAGTCAGGCTTGTGTCCGTGCTTTACCATCACACCATTGTATTAGCACGTGAGCTAAAATTATAAGACCCCAAGATCATAGATTAGGTTGCTTTGTCCTTCAACAATGCTTAGCACAAGGCTCTGGACCCATAGGATTTTGAGCAAATACACGATGGCTTTTTGAGGGACCAACTCTCTCTGAACTCACTCTGAATGGCTGGACAGGTAGCTGACTCCATCACTAAGTACTGCTTCTCTGAGTACCTGGGCAGAGGTTCCAGAATGACCCCAAATCCCCTGAGTATCTCATGTTGAGAATACCATGGAACCGATTGGCTGAATCTCACTGGGGGCGGGGAAGAGCCACCATTTTCCTTATTGGGGTGGAGTTAGAGTTAGGGCTACCGCTGCCATTAGAACAGAAGGAGAAAGCTGGCAGAAATCACAGGGGAGAGACCACTCACTGTTTGGATTGGGGAGCCCCTTAATTATACTTTTGAAAGGGAAACAGAATGGTGTCTCCAAGAAGGACACAAGAAATGGCATAAAACTTTCAGAAAGACCTAGAAAAAGATGGACCACAGAGTTGGTCACCATTACCTGGGGTGAGGACGCTGAAAGGAAGGCAATTCACATGGCTTCCACACACTTCTAGGGCTGTAGAGGCAGCAATGAGGAGAGGAGAGAGGGCAGGGACTCTCTGTCCCCATGGAGTGCAGTAGGACTGCCTTAGGAAGATTTAGGAAGAATTTCCAAAGGAATCAACATTCACAACCCAGGTAGACAAATGACCTCATGCAGAGATTTTCTAAGAAAAAAGAAATTGCTTTTCTCTGATAAGGCTAGTTGCATGCAATTTGTCAAGAGTCAGAGGCATGCAAGAATACACAATGGGAAAAAGACAGTCTCTTCCATAAATGGTGCTGGGAAAACTGGATATTCACACGTAAAGGAGTTAATTTGGACCTTATTTTACACCATACACAAAAATCGACTCAAAATGGATTAAAGACTCAAACATAAGCCCTGAAAACTGTAAAGTCCCAAGAAGAAAACATAGGGCAAAAACTTCATGACATTAGCCTTGGCAATGATTTCATGGATATGACACCAAAAGCACAGACAGCAATTCCGCCCCCACCAAAAAAATGGACTAAGGATCTAAATAGACATTCCTGCAAAGAAGATACACAAATGGCCAACAGTATATATATATATATATATATATATATATATATATATATATACTCATTGTTCTGATTATCAGGGAGTTGCAAATCAAAACCACAATGAGATATCACCTCATACCTGTCAGGATGTCTACTATCAAAAAAATAAAAGATGACAAGTGTGGGTGAGGATGTGGAGAAATTGGAACCTTTGCACATAGTTGGTGGGAATGCAAAATAGTACAGTTGCTATGAAAAATAGTATTAAACTTCCTCAAAAAATTAAAAATAGAACTATCACATGATATAAAAATCCTACTTCTGGGTATACTCGTATGTCCAAAAGAATTGAAATCAGGATCTTGACAAGATATTAGCACCCCCACGTTCATTGCAACACTATTCACAATGGCTAAGATGTGGAAACAACCTACATCATCTGATGTCCACCAACAGAAGAGTGGATAAAGAAAATGTGGTCTAGACACACAATGGAGTACTATTTAGGCTTTTGTAAAGAAGGACATTCTGCTATATGCAACAATGTAGATGGTCCTTGAGGACAATACACTATATGAAATAAGTCAGACACAGAAAGACAAATACAGAATGTTTCCACTTATATGAGGAATCCCAAATAGCCAAATTCATAAAATCAAAGATTGGAATGGTGGTTACCAGGATCTGGGGAGAGGGAGAAATGTAGAGTTATTAACCAGCAGGCATAAAGATTCAGTATAGTAAGATGAACAAGCTCTAGAGAACTGCTGTACAACACATACCTACAGCCAACAGTAATGTATTGTACATTTAAAATTTAAGAGAATAGATCTCATGTGAAGTGTTCTTCCCATCATGAAATAAAATGAAATAAAATAATAAAGGAGAATACTTAAAATGGCTTTTTAAGGGAGGGAGGGAGGGAGAGGGAAGTGGGGGGAGAGAGAGAGAATGAGAGAGAGAAAATGAGAGACAGAAAGGAGTACAACCAGGATTTCCTTGGAACATGCTGCTGGAGCCTTCCAGTCTCCCTGGGGAGAATGTGTGTGGCCCCGCATTGCTTTCTTACCAGTGTTTTCTAGCGTGCCATAGAGCGTGAGGAAGACGTTGGCATCGGTGCCTGCATCCTTTTTGTCCCCAGTCTTTACGGTCACTGAGAATGTGGTACATTTATCTGCAGGAGAGGAGTGTGGAGAAGTGAGTGATAGATTGCTCCTTCCATGAAGGAAGCCAAGAGGAAATGTACTGAGCATGTTTCGATGTTCACGTTGACTATTCCTGTGAATAGCTTTACTAGCAGGATGTGTTGCTCTGCGGTTGCGTTTGGTCTGAAAAGCAGACATGAGGCCTCCTTCACCTCCAGCTCACACAGGAAGCCCTCAAATCAGTCGCGTTGTAGGATGCTTAGGGGAGACTTCAGGTTACTGTGAGGGTCAGGGACTCATCAGCTAGGAGCCCAGGTCTGATTCTTCCAGGTTGGGAAGAATTTTAAAGATGCAAGTTTCAAGGAAAGGAGCACAAGCATCACAGAACGTCTGAAAGTTCATTCTTTCCCTTGACAAAAATGGACTGAGATCCTCTAATGTGCCTGGAGGGGAGGACACAAGACTAAGTCAGAACCAGCTACAACCTTCTATTCTATTCCATTCTATTCTATTCTATTCTATTCTATTCCATTCCATTCCATTCCATTCCACTCCATTCTAATTTCGTTTCATTTCATTTCATTCCATTCCATTCTATTCCATTCCATTCTATTCCATTCCATTCTAATTCCATTCCATTCCATTCCTTTCCTTTCCATTCCTTTCCATTCCAAGACTTGTGCTTTATACCCAGCCTTATGCAATGGGAATATGTCCTCCTCACTTCCCCATTCTTGCCATGGAGTAATAAGAGGGCAATACAGATAGAATGCCCGAGGGAGAAGCATCCAGAGCTCACAGGAGGAGGGAAGATGGAGACCTAGGATGGGGGAGAGACAGGGGGAGGGATGCTGGAGAGAAGAAATGATCTTGAGGCAACCTTTCTGCTCTAGGCCCATGTTGTCGAGGGAGTTGTCACCACCCGGGTTCTCATCGTCCGTTAGCACATAGGACTCATCCACTGGCAGCAGCTCCCTGAATAGTTGCCCATCATCTTCATCCACTGCCAGCCAGCGTTGGCACAGGAAGTAGTACCTGTGGGGGCGGGAAATGAGGAAAGGCTGGGAATGTCTTCTTGGAAAGATCTTATGAAAGACTAGTCATGGACTGAGAAATGAGAGGCCCTCGGTGGTGCCAAACGCTCCCCTCTCTACCCCGCCACAGCATCGCCCTTCCATCCTATCTAGCCTGGTAATCACCCCACTAGTGTCACTTTCCCTGAATAGAGAACAAACGTGGGGATGAGTCTGCAGGCAACCCAGTGAAAATGTCTGTGTAACACTGCCTGGAGCATAGCAAACCCTCAATCGGGGCCATATTGAAGGCATCTAAAAGAAGAGGAACTTTTGAGGACTGTTTCAACCCTTTCTGGAATACATCTATTAGCCAAAGCTACTTTCACAGAGAGGGTTATACGTAAAAACTGCTCAATATGTAAGTGTTGAATTGTAGTGAGATGACCCAATTATGCTCTTGGAAGGTACAAAGAGTGTGGATAAGGAGCTGGCACAGCAGTCAGCTGGGGCATCTGAGGAAGGGAGGTCCAGGTTAGACTCCTCAGCGTAGAGGCCAGGCCTGGGGCAATGGAAGTGCCTGAATAGGAAGGAAAGTAGACCAGGCATGAGAGATGCCGCAGAGTGGGACAATTAAGGACACATCCCTGGAGCCAGACTGGGTTCAAATCCTGGCTCTGCCACTTACCGTCATGTGACCTTGAATTAGAGTTGCCCGATTTAGCCAAGAAAAATCACAGGACACCCAGTTAAACTTGAATTTTAGATAAGCAATGAATATGTTTTATTGTAAGTATGTCCTATTCAATATTTGGGATGTACTAAAATATTAGTCATTGCTCATCAGAAAAACTGAGGCAGAAACCGGTAAAATGACTCTACCAAGGCCACACACAAGCCAAGAGTAGGAGAGAAAGGAATTGAGCCTAATACATCTATCTCCCACACTGTCACCATTTTCCACTCTTCAAAGGTCGAGTCTGACCTAGCTGTTTCACCCCCAGCACTGGGTAGGGCATGTGTTTGTTGAGTTAATGAATGAATCAATACATCAGACAAAACTTTTATTCATTATTTGACTTAATAAGTATTTATGGTATGCCTAGTGTGTGCCATGTACTCTTCTAACTATTGGGGAGGACACAGCAATAAACAGAACAGATGAAGTCATTACCTTATGCATGTGCCTTTTATTTCTATTGCAAGGAGAGGAGCAATAACTAAACACAGCAGTTTACTGTAGGTCAGGTGATAAGTGATATGGAGAAAACCAGAGGAACAGGAATAAATGTTCTGGGGGTTGGAGGGGTGGCCTCACTCAGCAGGTGACACCTGTCAGAAACCTGCCTAGAAAAAGTATGAGAGGGAGCCACTGGAGGAAGGAGTGCCAGGGAGAGGGGGCAGCACATGTGAGGGCACTGGGGTAGGGGGAGGGGAACATGTCTGTTGGGTTCAAGGCACAGCAAGGAGTGAGTAAGACGGGGACCAGGACTGAGAGATAAGGAGGGGGTGTGGGCAACCACCGGAAGTGCTCTCTCTGGCTCTTACCTTGAGTGAAATGGGAGACTCGGCAGGTGGTTGGCAGAGGGGGACATGACCCTGAGGGCTGGACTGCTGTAGACAATAGGAGAGCCAGGGCGAAGCAAGGGGACCAGTCAGGAGACTGACGAGGGGATGGTGAAGATGAAAGAGGGGGTCTGACTCATGCTCTTCTGAAGAAAAAAGTGGCCCACAGATTGGCGGTGAGGCATGAGAGGCAGAAAGGGTCAAGGGCATCTAATTTGCATGGAGGCAGGTGACTGGGTCCAGAGCAGCTGAGGGATGAAGCCAATGTTCACTTATCCTTATCCTGAGCTAATCAAGGTCATGGGAGTGTCCAAGGCACTGTCCACAAGAAAGATTCACTACTCTGATTTTGTTTCTTTGACCTGCCATAATTGTATGTCTGTCTCCCAGAGCAGGCTTTGCTCAGAGCTGCTCTCTGAGCTTGCAAATGGTTGGAGCCAGCTCATCACAGAGCCCTTACTATTGCTTCAATATCAAGGAAACAAGGACATGTAAACACACAACACCAACAAGAAAGGACAGCGAGAGAAGAGAAGATGAGGTGAGTGAGGAGTGGAGAAAGGAAGGAAAAAGAGAAAGGGAGTGGAAGAAGAAAGATGAGTAATGAGAAGGTTCCATCCACAAGAGTGATAAAAATATAAAATATTTGGGTGTAAACTTACCAGGAATGTGTAGCAGCTCTATGTAGAGAATGGTAAAGCATTACTGAGATATCTAAAGGAACATTTGGGTAAATGGAAATGCGTGCCTGGGTGTGGGGAGCACTTATTATTCTAAATATGCAATTCTCCACACATACATTTAATGGCACAGCAATCAAAATTCCAATAGGATTTTTTTCAAGTCACTTAATGTCTTGATTTGAAAAGGTAAGAATAGCTAGTGTTTTTAAAGAATAATCAAAGAGGACAAGTAGCGACAGATATTAAAATAGATTAAAAAGTTACAATAATTTAAAAATTGTTAGGCTGGCCCAGAAATGCCAAATCAATGGAAAAGACTTAACTGGCCTTAACAGAGCTGCAAGGGGAAGCTGAGGATATTCACAGTTTGTCCTTGTCCTCATGTTTTTTGGTAGCTCTTTATCCTTTTCCATATCTTAAATGCCTTCGATTTTCAGAACATCTTGAGAAATAAGCTGGCCTGACATCAGTAAGCCCATTTATCAGAAGAGCAAATGAAAGCCCATCAAGATGAAGCAACTTGTCCAGGGTGACCTGGTGAGTTTCTGGCAGAGGACTTACCCCAGGTCAGGACCCTGGTTCCCAACCATGGGGTTGTACCATGGCCCTCTTGTGCCATCACGATGACCTCATGGAAATCCATGACATAAGGCCACGTGTACGCTGTGCCTCAGCGTCCCCATCTGGAGTAACCTCTTGGGGCAGGATACAGGTGAGAGATGGGGTGAGTTTCATCACCCCCTGCCCTGCACAGAGGGGAGCCCAAGAAGAGGGTATGCCCTAGGAGACACCAGGCTGTAGGCCAAGGAGGTTAACTCAACAAATATTTATTTATTGGGTGCCCACTACATTCCAGGCACTGGAAGGCCCTGGGAAGCTCCACAACCAACTTAGGATCTTGCCTGCTTTCCTCTCTGCCTCCCTCCCCACCTCCCACTGCATCTCAGGTCCTAGTTTCATGTCTATTGCCCCTTAGCCCATTTTGCCCAAGAGTCAGTGTAGCCAAATGATGGTAACAGCAGATTCATCATTGATGGTCTGGAGTCCTATCCTGGCTTTGGAACGAATTGGCTCTGGAGCTGCAGTTTCACCTCCCTGGGGTGGAGGTGGGGGGGGTAGGGAGATGGGGGTCCCTTCACCTGTTAAGAGAATGGCACCCCCTTCCCAACCTAGCTCACATGGTAGTTATGACTCCCCAACAGGGACCTGCAAACTGTGGCCCGTGGGCCAAATCTGCCCACCACCTGCTTATGTACATCTCACAAGCTGAGCATGGATTTTAGATTTTTTTTTTAATGGTTGGGAAAAATCTAAAGACCTCTAATGTTTTGTGACATGTGGAAATTACATGAATTGCAAGTTTCAGTGTCCATAAAGTTTTACTGGAACACGGCCATGTCCATTCATGTAGGTGTCATCTGTGGCTGCTTTCCTGCTGCAAAGGCCAAGTAGAACAGCTGTGACAGAGACCCAATGGCCCCCAAAGCCTAAAATATTTTCTATCTGGACTTCACAGAAAAGGTTTGCTTATCCCTGGTCGAGAACATTAGAATGTACTGGAAGTCGCTTTCTATGTGGAGAAACACATGGGTGACTAGGTCTGGGCACGGAGAGTGGGCCAATAAATGTCGGGCGGAGACAGAAAACCCAGACTTCTGAGTTCATGGCCCTCAAAAACTGGACTGGATGTTCTACCAGACTGTCACCTGACAGGACAAGCAGCTCTCTAGGGGGCTGCCCGATGAGAGGGAAGGGAGGGAGACAAGGCGCACTCAGCCAGCTACATGGGCCACGCCCACATCACAGGCCCCCACCCCCACCTGCAGGCATCACAGCTCCCCCACCTTCACCTGCAGGCATCACAGCCACCCCACCCTCAGCCCTCGTTCCAGGACTCTCTTAGTGGCAGGAATGGCCTGCCCTCCCTTCCCTTCAGCCCTGCTCACGTGGTCTCCTTGTTCATGTCGGTGATGTCTATTCTGTCCAGGAACCAGCTTCCACTGCCGCCTGCATTGTCATGACGAACCCGAACTTTGATCAGGGGCCCCAGGTCAAAGGCGGCGACGGTGAAGGTGTCTGTCTGGGAAGGGTCAGGGTAGCACTCAGAGGGGTGGCACCCTCCCCACCTTGCCATCAGTTTCACCCTCCCAGGACCTGGGGCACCCTGAGGCTGCTGTGAGACCCAAACCAGAAAGGGATACTTTTTGGGATGTGTGTGCATGTGTGCGTGCACGCGTGTGTGTAGGGCCTGTTGCTTGGGTGTGTGCTGTGTGTGCACACGTGTGCATAATCTCCTTCAACCACAAATCTTGATTAAGCACCGGTTATGATCCGAAGTGTAAATCCAAAGTGATTTACAGAAACAGATGACCTGGACTTGCTTGCCATAGAGGCGGGATGACAAAAGGTGTACAAGCATATGTATAGACACTGGAGGAAACAGAAACAGGTGATACCAGGGCCGGATAAGTGAATGGGACCTTCTTGGCTGTAAGTTTGTAAACTCTCTAATACTGAAAAACGTTTCGTATCTATAGAAAACTTGTGGAAATACTACAATGAAATTTTATATACCCTTCACTTAGATTTCTCATTTGCTATCTCTCTCTCTCTCTCTCTCATTTTCTGATCACTTGAAAACAAATGGTAAATACCATGATCCTTCACCCCTAAATTCCTCAGCATAGATTTCCCAAGAACAAGGACATTCTCATATAATCACAGTACAATTACAAAATTCAGGGAACTTAACATCAACAATATTATTACCTAACATAGAGTCTGCATTCAAATTTTATCAGTTGTACCAGTTATGCCTTTTCGCAGCAATTTTCTTCCAATTCAGGAGCACAGTGGCTATAATTTTTAAAGGAAAATACCGAAACACAGAAATAAACCCTGATCCATCAAGTAATGGGAAAGGAGTGTGGAAAGAAAAACCAGGGCCTCTGAAACATATTAAGTGATGAGCCCAGAAGTGTTTTACTGGATTTGGTTTCTTTTTTTTCTCCCTCAATATTCATGAGGGAGCCTGGCTTTGGGACAGGGGCAAGAATGGGAAAGGTGAGATGAGGGACAGTCTTCTAGCCAGAGGATATTACACAATCTCTAAGGACAAAGATGACAGCTGTGTTTCCCATGCTTTTCCCACTCTAGCTGGAGGAGGGAGGTAGAGCATTTCTTCCCAATGCTCAAAAGCCTTTGTGGCTCCCACCACCTCAGGTTGCAGTTCAGGCTTCTCGGCCTCTCCTTCAAGGCCCTCATTGCCCCATCCCTTAAGTGGGTCTCATCAAGCTTCCCAGAGGCAGCACCCACTCAGCATGAACCGCAGTGCAATGGGGAGACTCACTGTCCTTGAACTGGCCTTCTGCCTTTCCACCCCTACATCTTTGTCATGAGATCCTGTCTTTGGAGAACACCTCTCATGGCCATCTTTAGACATCTACAACATACGCAGCCACCAAGGCCCAGGTAACATCACTCTTTCCTACCAAGTTGTCCCCAAAGTGCCATCTTATGGTCAATACTTCCTCCTTGAACCCCTGCTCCAGTCAGTCAGCACGTGAGAGTCTGCTGGTTATCCTATCTATGGTTAGTTCCTGTGGGCTTCATGGAGTTGGACCCCCACCTGTGCCTCTCTTATGCCCCCTACTGGTGCTTACAAAGGAGGCACTTCCATGACACCTAGTTGTGTTTAACAAAGCTCACTGCTGGACACAATGGTCATTGTGGGTGAGGCAGCCTTGAGAATCACCAGAGGGCTCCCTACATCTGAATCCCAACCACCTAGCCAAGGGCCGGAAAGTCCATACCCTACCTGCCCCTGCTTAAACTTGCTGGAGTTGTCCGAATTCTTCAGAGGCCGCTCGCCTGTGTCCCCATACTCTTGACCATAGATGGTCAGGTAGACGTTGGCACTGGTGGCAGCATTGGGCACGGTCCCTGTGATCACCTGGACCGTATAGGTGTTGGCTGGAGATAGAGAAAGACTCAGTGTTAAGGACACCTGGGCCTCAGAGTGGCCCTGAGGCTCAGCCTCTAGGATACAGGCAGATGGTGGAAACAGGAAGGACCTACAGACCGTCTTCACATCGACACTAAGCTGGAACTGAACTTTTCCCTCCTCCCTACCCAAGGCGTTCCTTTGCCACGAAGCCCAAGAAGTCATGGGAAAATTCGCCCTCAGAAACCCTCCTACCTTATGCCCCCAACACTGAGTTCTATCAGGGCTCCTCCTCAAGTCGTCCAATTCTTCTGAGAGCCACAGGACAAGAACAATGCTAACCCCCGACAGAGAACTGTCCATGGTGGCATTTTTCAGACACAGGTCAGGAGAGCTATTTCGGAGCCATGATGGGTGCCCACCTAGGGGGCCTCCATGTGACAGAAGATCTAGGCCCCCTCCCCCCTCCCTGGGCCCCCTGTAGGGGACTGTCTGACCCCTCCTCAAGCTTACGCTCAGGAACGGTATCGCCAACAGGCGCCAGCTCCACGACAATCTCATTGTCCTCCTTGTTCCGGGCCAGCCAGCGGTTAGCAATGAACTTGTACTCCTCAACCACCTCCTCCATGCCCGGCCCGAACTCCTCCTCCTCCTCCTCCTCCTCAGTCTCCTCCTCCTCCTCTTCAGAGGACGACTCCTCCGATGAAGACTCCTCTTCCTCTTTCTCCTCCTCCTCCTCCTCCTCGCTGCCCTTTTTCTTCTTCATCTTCTTCTGCAGCTTGGCCTTCAGCCGCTCCTTCTTGAGCAGCTGCTCCAGCTTGGCCTTCTCCTTTTGCTTCTGCTCCTCCTCCTCGGGGGTGAGCTCCACCTCCAGCACCAGCAACTGCCGCAGCCACAGCGTGTCCACGAACCAGGCGGGCGAGGAGCCCTCGTCCGTGTGCCCCAGCCGGATCTTAAAGATCTCGCCCACGTCAACCGCTTCCAGCTGTGCAAAGCGCAGGGCAGTGGCTGGGGTGGCCCCTGGCATCCTCCCCGCCTCCCCTGCAGAGCCAAGCATGGGGCTGTGTGCGCAGCCACGGGATGGAGAGGCTCAGGCCCTCTGAACACAGAAGCTTCCACCAGCTCCCTTTCGCCTACACATCCGGCTTGGTTTCTTGGCCCTCCAGGACCTCTTGCTGGCCTCACCTTCCACCCAGACTTATGTCCTTCTAAACCCCTGTGTTGGTCAAGATGCTCGCCCTCTCTCTCCCTCTCTCTCTCTCTCTCTCTCTCTCTCTCTCTCACACACACACACACACACACACCACCAACACACTCATTATTCCTATTTCCACATCT